TCTCATCAATACCCATCCAAGGAAAACAGCTTGGAGAATAATTGGAGTATATTCAAGCAATCATCAAACAAAGCTTTTTTTACTTTCCAAATAAACTCAATCTCTTTCCTATGACACCTGTTAAGCACTGGACAACTTCCTAACCTTTGGAATCAGACTGGACAGCACCACCCTCATTTCTGGCTCCAACTGACTTGTGCCTTTCCTTAGCAACAGCTAAAGTCCAGCATCACAAAGATATGATGTCATTCAAAGGAATATAGTGCCATCTAATACTGAAATGGAACCATCTGGAATTAAATAGTTCACTGGGCACCTGTACTGTGCAAAATTTAAAACATCTCACATTGCTCCTGTGAGTTCTCTCAAGTGGCTCAGGTGTACTGAAACAGTTTGGAAAAAATGGATTTAACCTATTGGGACAGTCTTGTTACAAGGACAGGTCCTAAGTTATTCAATAGGATTTCTATTAATAAACTTTTAGGGCCCAGGGATTTAGCTCAGTGGTGACGCCTGCCTGGCAAGCACAAGGTCCTAAGTCCAATTACTGGTACAAAAAAACCCAAAAACTTTTAGGCAGTTAAGCTGGGAGTGGTGTGGTGTGTGCCTGTAATCTCAGCACTCAGGAGGCTGAGGCAGGACATCTCAGTGAGTTGGAAGGCCAGGCTGGGCTACAGTTGAGTTCAGGTCAGCCTAAATTACACAGCAAGACCTTATTTCAAAAAAAGAATGAGGCGGGAATGGCAGCGCAGGCTTGTAATCTAAGCACTTGGGAGGCTGAAGCAGGACTGCAATGAGTTCAAGGCCAGCCTGGACTACATAGTGAGTTCAAGGCCATCCTCAGCTACATAGCAAGACCCTGTCTGAAAAAAAGAAAAAGAAAAACAAAACAAAACAACAAAAAACCCAACTTAATTTATCTCCCTCACACATGCCCCTCCCTTCTTGCCTTGATCAATAAATGGCATCTCCATTTATCCAACTGCTCAGGCTAAAAAGCCAGTTTTGATTCTTCTCTTTCTTATAATTCCCACTTAGTCCTTCTGCCAGTCTGTTGTGCCTTTCAAGATATGGCTGAAATCCAGCCATTTATGACCACCTCCACCTCTATGTCTCACCGAACTCCACCCTATCACCACCTTTCCCATTGACAGGAAAAAAAAAATCAGGTAAGGGAATTATTTTCTTTTAATTTGCATGTTTTGGGGCCCGGGATTTAGCTCAGTGGTTCCGGAGCCTGCCTTGCAAGCGCAAGGTCCCAAGTTCAATCCTCAGTACCAAACAAATAATTTGCATGTTTTGTTTCATTTTGGTACCTGGAAGCGAACTCAGGACCTTGCACTTTCGAGACAGGAGGCAGCATTACTGAGCTAAATCCCCAGCCCTAATTGGGTATTTTTTAAAGCTTTGTCCATGGTGCCTCTGATGAAGAGAAGTGACTAATTTTTCTGGTGCTTTACATTATTTAAAAAATTTAAATATTAAGTCCATCTGCATCTGAAATTTATTCTGTGGTAAGTCAAGGTGGTGTGAAATCAGGTTGTTCTGAGTCCTGGCAGAGCTAAGCCTACTTTAACAAAACTGTATTCTTCCACAAACACAGCCACAATACTCCACTTTTTCCAGCCAACTGATCCTTTCTTATTAGCTCCACAAGTCACCAAGGGATCTCCCCTAACATCCTCCTCCTACTCTGGTTTCTCCTGCTTCCATCTTCATCCCGCCCTTAACACAGTTCACAGAGCAACCACAGCAATGCATACGTGTTTTGTTTTGTTTTGTTTTTTTCGCAACGGGGGATCGAACTTGGATCCTTGCACTTGCACAGCAGGCGGCGAAACCACTGTGCTAAATCCCTGGCCCCTGCAATGCATACGTGTTTTTTTTGTTGTTGTTGTATTAAATTCTTTTATTGGTACATTGTAGGTATACAACACAATTACATTTCTCATTGGGAATTGTACCTTTATATAATACATCTTGGTTCTTATTT